GGATAGAGCGCTGGCTTCACCTAGCTCACAGCAACCTCAAACTCCTGGGCTCAAACAATACTCCTACCTTAGCCTCCTGAGTAGTTGGAACTACAGGCATGCATCACCATGCCCAGGTAAGTTTTTCATTTGTGGGAACTCAGCTGGCCTCAAACTCCTGAGCTCAAGTGATCCTCCTGCCTTGGACTCCCAGAAAGCTAGGATTACAGGCATGAGCACCATGCCCAGCCAAAGCAGAAGTTTTCAGAGCATCAGCACAAGTGGCTCACTGTTCTCCTTTCTTCCATAGAGCCTGGCAACATTCCAGATAGAAACTCCTCTGTTTCCATAAGGGCCTCACGGAAAAGCAATGTCGCGAAGAATAAGCACGTTTATTGCAATTGTGTTTTTAATAAAGGTGACCATCTGCTCCCTCAGGCAAAATGGCGAGCTTCTTTATTTGCAGTTGGTTTATATAGGGAATTTTGTACATGAGCACAATGCAGCAATGACCTCATTGATCCATTTAAACAGCTTATGACCACCCACCCTGTAAGTAGCTCTTCCCTGGTATCTAATAATCCACCCAACATACACCTTTAAGCATAATCCTTTCAATATAACCCGGTTTAACATAACTTAATGAAGAACATGTCAGTTATTACTTTCTTTGATCTTATCTGATGAAGCCTGAGGCTACAGGGGAAAGAGACAATTCGAATGTCTGTTCTACTGACCATGCCATTTGGAGGCAGTTACTTTGAATCTTTAAGCAAAGCATAGAGAAACTTCTTGGGCACACAGGAGTTTGTATGCAAACCTCTGCTCCCATGTAGGCCTTAAGTTGGGGTGGGGGGGGTGTTGCTGGAGCCTTTTATAAGGAATTCTCAGGCTGGACTTCTCAAAAGCCTTTCATGAGCCCAAATGTCATCTGTGCCATTTAGATACTTGTATGACATTACCGTTCCCAGACCTGTCAGCAAGCAACCTTCGTCACTTACCACAGATCAGGAAAGGTTAGTGATGGGTATCTGGCCAGTGTTCCAAAGGGCTTTCTCATAGGCCTTATAAAGTCAACCTTAATTCCTTAACACAGTCTGGAAATGCTATTCCAGCCAAAACCTTGTTCATGTTAGGCCCACAACTAACCTGGCTACATGGGATTTTGCCTCAGTTTCTTAAGTATGCCTGCACAAAGTCTTTTCACTGCTCTCAAACGGCTTTTTTCGCCAGAGGCATATAGGCATTTCGCCTATACTGCTCTGTCAGTCTCAGCCCTGGAGGAAAAGCAACATGGAACAGAGGCTGGTGGCCTGGAGGTGTGCCAGGAACAAGAAGTAAACCTGTGTTTTTGTAAGCCACTAAGATTTGAGTGAGGGTCATTTGTTATTGCAGTGAAACCTAACTGTCTTAGCTTGGGCTGCTATAACCAAATACCAGGCCAGGCATGGTGGCTTATACCTATAATCCTAGCTCTCTGGAAGGCTGAGACAGGAGGATTGCTGAGGCTTAGGACTTTGAAACCAGCCTGAGCAAGAGCAAGACCCCATCTCTACTAAAAATAGAAAAACTAACCAGGCGTTATGGCAGGTGCCTGTAGTCCCAGCTCCAGAGGAGGTTGAGGCAACAGGATTGCTCAAGCCTGAGAATTTGAGGTTGCTCTGAGCTATGAATACCCAGGGCAACCAAGTAAGACTATGTTGCAAATAAATAAAATTTAAAATAAAAAATACCAGGCAGGAAACAGTGGCTCATATCTCTAATCCTAGCACTTTGGAAGGCTGAGGTGGGTGGACTGCTTAGGCTCGAGACCAGCCTGAGCAAAGTGAGACCTCATCTCTAAAACTAGCTATGTGTTATGACAGGCACCTTTAGTCCCACCTGTGTGAGAGGGTGACAGAAGAGGATTGCTCAAGCCCAAGAGTATAAGGTTGCTGTGAGCTATGATTCCACAGCATACCACCGAGGGTGACAGAAGGAGACTCATCTCAAAAAAAGAGAGAGAGAAAGAAAAATACTATTATCTGGGAGGCTTAAACAATATACATTTATTTCTCACAGTTGTGGATGCTGGAATTCTGAGACCAGGGTGCCAGCATGGTTGGGCTCTGCTCAGAGCCCTCTTGCAAGCTGCAGACAGCTGACTTCTTTTACATGGCAGGAAGACAGCCAGCTAGCTCTCTGGTTCCTTCTTGTAAGGACACTCATCCCATTCATGGGGGTTCCACCTTCATGACCTAATTACCTCTGAAAGGCCCCATCTCCAAATATCATCACATTGGGGATTAGATTTCAATACATGAATTTTAAAGGGGACACATTCAGCCCATCCTGACTGATGTGACAGCCCAGAGCATTCAAGCACTGGGCTATTGAAGCATTGATACGATCAATTTTTTTTTTTTTTTTTTT